TTCGATCGCTTATCAGAAATTATGTCAGTGTTTTATTGCTGGAAATCACAATACGACGTCACAGCTGCTGGGAATAACCCTGGTATCATGGGATTTATCAGTCCCACCTCTGCGTTGTACAAACTTAGCATGTTTGTCAGGTTTTCCTATTTGCCCTCCTCTCTTCCTTCTTTTTTCAGCACAGGTAAAAGTATAAAATAAAAGACAAACAAACAAGAAAAATTAGGCTTTCATGGAAATGGTTTCCACAGCCTTCCTATATGTGTGCAGCTTTTCCATGATTCCTGATTTCTATGCTGTGTGCACACTGCAGGTGACAAACTGATGCAGTGGATAAGCACAGTTGCCTGCATTGCCACATAGCCATCATACATGAACATAGGAACACGTGACTGCAGACTGAAGAGTTTGGATCTGCAGCCAGTTGCTTCTACGCAGATAGCGCGAGGTCAGACTGGCTCTTCTGGGCATTTTAATGAAAGCGGGTTCATTTATTAGCATACGGCAGCACATCCTGGTAGCATTTCTGTTTCATTCTGAGAAGTAAAGGCAGCACAGGGGGAAGCATACTGAGGAAAGATGTGTCAACATTTCCTGTTCGCCACTTCTCTCCTTGAAAGGGAAAGTGTGTGTCACTTGGAGAGTGTGTGTTCATCTTGAGACACACTTTTTCTTTTCTTTTTTTATCCAAAGAGAAGTTGTTTACACAACAGAAAAACATGACTGTAAAGTAACAGGTGAAAAAGATTTAATCAAAGACTGTATATGAAAGACGGCTACCATGATGCCTCCTAATCCTTTTTTTTTTTTTTTTTTTTTTTTTAAACCTTGATGTGATGGCACCCTGCCCGCACAGGACGAGAGAGGCAAGGTCCACTCTGGACATGGGACAGGTCGCCAGTCTATCACAGGGCTAACAACCACCATTTAGCCTAGCATACATGTCTTTGGAGTGTGGTGGGGGTGGGTGTAGTCCGATTACTGTAGAGAACCCACACAGGCATGTACAGCTTTATGCTGAACAAGAAAACACCATCCACTGTGTGATGGTGCAACCAAACCCTGGACATGAACCTGTCACACTCCCATTAATACTTCAGTGTAAACAGGTTTAAAAGTCACGACAGGGACATCAGCTGTTAAAACTAGGAGGCTGAGTACTTTTGCTTTTTGTTTTGCTTTTTTTTTATTCACTTGAGCTGAAAATGAGGATTTTTCTGTGAAACTGGGTGTTTTAACATTTCAGTATATTGGGATTGACTTGTTTTTGGAGCGACTGTTTTACTTAGGCATTATTTTCCTGTCATGGAGGTTACTTAAATGCGCTGTAATAGTGAAACTCTCCATTCCTTTAGTGTAAAGAACTTGAGCCTGAGATATCTTGATATAAGGAAAAAGTGCAATTTCAACAGTACATCTCAGAACCTTTGAAACTGTACTTCATAAAGAAAAACTGCTGTAGTAAATGAAAGTAATCACTTACTACTATCATTTACAGCACTTTGGGCTCAGTTATAAGAAACAAATGTAAAATTACAGAGAAAGATCTGAAAGCTAGACTGTCCTGTAATTACGGTATAACACAAATTGTTTGTTAATTCACAGAAATGCCACCATCTACTGGAAGCTTTTTCTAGTAGACGGTAAAAAAGAAAACAGTAATTTCTCTGTCATCTAATTCTTTATCTATTACTTATTTACTTTGGTTTAGTATGAATGGTCATGGAGGAGGTCTGTATCAGTAGGCAAAGCTGTTAAAGTTGTGAACATACAGTTAAAAGTCCTCAATTAATCCCGGCTTTCACATTTTTCTAAAGCCGTGCAGTGGGCCAGATTGGAGTCTTTACAGGGCCAATTCTGGCCAGCAGGCTTTATGTCTGACACCTCTTTGATTGGATTAATTTATTTTTCCTACCACATATTATGCGCTTGGACTGGGAAGTGCCCTAATCCGAGTAAAGTTTTACACAGATGTTCCTAATCTAAGCTGAGCTCAGGCCAAGAGCGAGTCTGCCGGAAGGGGAAGACACAACTTCACAGTTCAGCATATCACTCTGATTTAACCACGAGTCTCAGCTGGTTATATCAGGAAAAGCAGCGGTATGAGAGAGTGAGGGAGTTTACACAACATGCCATGAATGTTAAGTCCTGTGGGCCCAACGTATCTGCACCTCATTTTGTAACCGATCATCAGATTTTTATCAGTAGTGAAACTGATAACAAGTAATATGAGTAAAGCTACAGCCAGCAGCATAACATCACACACACACACACACACACAAACACACACACACACACACGACACACACACACACACACACACACGCACACACACACACACACCACACACACACACACACACTCTCTTGGCATCTTCAGTTGTCCTCCTGGCTCGTGTGTGTTCAGCAGATTCCACAGATTTCAGACCCGCGTGGAGATTCCTCAGCCCTCCACTCATCTCTGATACAAATCCTCCCTTGTTGTTCCTGCCAGAGACTCTCTCACCCTCTCTTCCCTAAGCAGGAACTGCTAATGTCAGCCAGAGCACCAGATGATGAGATTCAGGCCCATCTGACGCTTCGATGTGTCTGAATGACACTCGATATTTTCACCCACTTTGGGTTTTTTTTTTCTTCTTTTAAATGGCACAATGGTGAACTGAGTGACTGTGGATCACACAGACTCAGAGCTCTTACATCCAGTAGATGATAACTTGTAATCACATTTGTGGTGAGAGCCAGCCTTTTTATACAGATAAAGCCTCTCTCTACCACCGCACAGAAGAACAGCGCATAGAGTTCTTATTCAGGATTTCAGAATGAGGGAAGGTCAGTAATAAGAAACGCCGAGCCACCAATTCAGACACGGTCTCCAATTTTCCCTTTAGTCTCTACTTTTAAAAGCCTCTGTTAAATTTATAGGACTTGCAAGGGAGGGCTCCCTTTTCCTTTTAGCTTGGGTGTAACTCCAGAAGATAAAGGTTAAGCAATGCGCGAAACATTTTTGTGCAATTGGTTCGCAGCGTGATGAAACTGTTGCCCTTATCGGGAGCACATTTGATCGGTAGCGTGCACGTTCTGCTGCACGATGGGGCTCTCGAAAGAGACAAAGATGGCCGGTCTGCATCACTGATGAGAACAGACAGCGCAGTTTACAGAAGTGCCTTCACAATCAAGACATCGCTCTGTATCTGCAACTCTGTGCGTGGTGTGACGTATCCTGTTTTTGTTGCATTATCTTGTATCTTGGTTGCTCAGTGTAGACACATCCTGTGGAGGACAGTTTCTTGCATTATTCAAGTGAACATTATCCTTTAACGTGTATACAAAATGATTACTAATGGAGTGGAAAGGAAATGATAATGTTTGGGGCTGACTGCCAGACTATTAGTTTAACGTGGAACGCCGGTGGTAAATATTGAGTTTGAGCTCCAATTGTTGTTTCTATTTATGATCATAAACTCTTACAGCTCACATGCATACAAGATTCTCTTAATCTTCTCATCTAATGTTATGATGGAAATAAAAAGGGAACATTTTCCCCCTAATAGTTTAAGCTGTGCTTTCAAGGCAGACGTGACGCTGTAATATAAATGGTATAATTCTGCAGAAATGAACCTTTTTCTGCTTCAGTACACAAACAGCTCGCAGGAGGCAGAGCATCTTTATGCATTACTCCCCCCTCAAATGAAACTCATTTTTCAGACGATGCATTAAGTCTTTGTTGTACTCGTCGCCTGTTTCCCTGAAGTGGGCAAAGGTCCTGTGCTGATGAACACGAGTGCGGTGCAGGAGGTTTGCTGTCGGATCACGTGATTTCTAGGATGTGGAAGTTCCTTGTTTTGGAGCCACCAGTGTTCATAGTTTCCTTTTTAATTCCTCTATTTTGTATATAATTTACATGCATTCAGTTCCTTTTTTCCCCCCCTCTAGGTTTTAATAGGAAACATGTGTCTCTTGACATGAAACACGTTTCCCACCTGGAAAATCGATTTTATCTTTTTTCAGGCGCTTTATGGCGGGGTGGCGGAGGATTGGTTTATATAATGCAGTGAAGTCATTCGGTTCTGTTGTGGAGTTTTATTACGACAGGAACTGTTGAGTCAGACTGCCTCGGTTATTATCATGTCCACTGTTCAGCGATGTTTAAAAGGGATTTTAATCAATAAGGCCTCTGCAAGAACTTCCTGCAGAAAAGCGAGTCATTCATACCTGATTTTTATTTATAGAGCTGGCTCATTGTCTTCCAGTGTACAGTTGATCAAGGGCAGGGGAGCACAGCACAGCCGCTCTGATGTGGAGGGAGTGTCGGGTCAGATTTGGTCACGGTGACAAAGATTACCCTGACCAGTGCTCCTGTATGTTGCTGTTTTGACCTCTTTGATGACAAAGCCTTTAAAGTTCTCCTTTTGCTAAATAAAGAAACTGCTTCATCCATACAGCGGAAGGGAGGTTCTGGGACCGAGCTCCAGGTTTTTGTTTTTTTCCCCTGAATGACAATATGGCTCTAACTCTTCCTGCCATCCCAGAAACAGGACAGGACATGGGAGAGAGGGGAGGCGGTCAGAGGTCAACACCCAGCTTCCATTGTCCTGCAGACCCCGAAATGAGTTAGGTTGTGGACCGGAACCGGTCCCTTCCTTAGAGCCACCCCCCTGCCTCTCTCGGTTTTTCTCGAAAAACCTTCCCAGCAGACCTCCAATCACATGCCTCCGAGACCCTTTTCCTTCCTGTTGAGCAAACAGAGTCACGTGGGCTGAAACAGCGGCTGTAGTTTACTCTCGATTATCAAAAACACAGCGGACAACAAAGCAGCAGGCAGCTGCATGTTCAACCTGGGCTCTATATTCATGGTTAACGACTCACTGGAGCTCTCTGTGATCTTTGTGCCTCTTGTTCTTGCTGAACAGACACCCACGGTGGAGGTATTTTTATAAACATGTTGCTATACCCTGCGCATGTCACATACATGTTGTTTACATCCGATGTCTCTCCCTGCAGGAGCAAGAGGTGCGCGCTGAACTGCGGCCACGTCTCTGCGTGATCCAGCGAGGCACCAGCGGATATGGCTTCAACCTGCACAGTGAGCGGGCGCGGCCGGGACAGTACATCAGAGCTGTGGATGAAGACTCTCCAGCAGAAAGGGCAGGCCTGCTGCCCAAAGACAGGATCGTAGAGGTAAAGTGAGAGCGTGCGGGCTGGATCTCAGTAACCTAAAACATTTTTATCTACTAGGAACAAAAAATATTATCTGACTAGTTTGAAAAGTTTGAAAATTTTTGAAAGAGGTGCCAAATAGTTACAAAGTGCTTCGTTATTCATGAGAAGCAGCTTATTATGAGCCTTTCAAGCTCCCTAAAAATATCCCTGCATTGTATCCTGATTAGTCTGCCATACTTCCGCTCTATACAGCCTCCACTGTTTTTCTTTGTAGTTGGATAAAAATAGAGAATAATTGTGTAGCTTGTAATCAGGCCTCACCTAAAGCCTGGTTGGAGATGGAGACCTTTGTTCACATTCAATAATTCAAGTTATCTCATTTATATTTAAGATGTTTGTCATATGTGTTGCAATCTTTGTAAGTATCATTTTCCTCTTTGCCTGCTCAGCTGTGGAAACCCTTGCCATGAAGCTCCCAGTACAGTTTTTTGTGCTGATGTTAATGTCAGGAGGGTTTAAACTATGCAATTATTGAGCCACCAGAGCCTATGTGACCTTTACTCACTGCTGTGGTTTCTAAACACATCCACTATGCAGTATTACCACTTACAGCTTATCGCGAAATATCTAGGAGGGAAGAAATTTCACAAACGAATTGCCTACAGCGTATGCAAAAATGAATCTGTTTCAAGGATGGAAAATAACTTATTACATAAACAGACTGGTTAACTAAAAAAAAAAAAACTCCAAAAAAACCAAACTAAAGCTGCCTTCACACGTGAACTCCCCAAAATGTCAGCCTTCAAACACGGCCTGAAGCAGTCTTTCTCGTGTGTGCAGGATTTCATGAGGTCATTTCTTTCTCACTGCTGGAAAAACTTGGTTTGTTTTTAGGACAGGGAGCCTGAACAGGTCATGAAGGTGGCAGGACACGGAGCATCCACTCGCTCTGAATTCTCACTGCACTGTTACCCGTTTTATTTTCACATCAGTGTATTTTAGTGTCGTGCAGACTTTGCATAATACTAAAATGCATCTTTTTTTTTTTAAGGTTTCTCCCTGACCAAATCTACCACACCCTGCAGAAAACGAATCCACTAAAGTACATGCAGATCATTTTTTTTCTCACCTTTTATAAATCTTTCTGTAAGCATGGCGCTCTGCATGCGAACTATGCACGCCCATGCATGAGCCTGTTTCCCACTCATTAGAATGATGTCACCCTTATTTATCATCTGCATATGAAATTCTGTTTGCGTTAATTTTTATGAAATGTAAAAATTAGAAATTAGAAATTTTTTTTTTTTGCAGATGTTATCAGCTGTAAACAATCGGAGTAAAGGAGCCAGGCAAAGGCATAAAAGAAATAATCAGATGAGCAAAAGCAGACCTTTATGCACTACCTAGACAAAAATAATAATAGCCTGACAAAATAAGTACACACTAAATTATTCACAATGTCGCTTGGGAATTATGCACGAGGTACCCACATACTCACCGCACGGTATTCGCATAAATGAGGTGTTGTGAACACTGCACTCAGAACTGAAGAGTTGTTATCCAAAAGTTTACTGTGTGTTTCGGGGAATATGATGTGAACTAACAGCCGCCGTGTGAGGTCTTTGATCCTTCAGAGGCCCCGACTGTAACAGCCTCACACTGAAATAATCGGCTTTTAAAAAGGCCTGATGTTGGTCTGCCTCATTAGTGAAGACACGGGCCTCTTTGTATGCAAAAAAAACACATCTACTTAAAAACGTAATCAGAGCAAAGTATCGTCTTCTGACGTGAAGGACGCCTCCTCTCCCTTTGAAAGTGAATAGAATTTATAAAGGAGAGAAGGATTCAAAGGACTACAGGGTCTGCTGGGAGTCTTTAGAGGGGCTTCCAGTCCCTGAGAGGTGCCCCAGACAGCCACACCACCCACTGAGGTCCGGGGCTTTGTGAGGAGCCGACAGCCATTGTTACTGCTGTTACTGGCTGAGCAGCTATTGTCCGGCTTCCTCTGTAGGACTGGCTTTGACGTGCAGATCCACCCTGTGACCTAAACACACACACACACACACCCTTCATATTTCACATGCTTTCCCATAGAGATTTTACACCAGAGGAGTCAGCTGGTCTTCTGGGAGACACGTGACACTTATACCAGACTTAAAGGGCAACTGTCACAGTGACGTAGGAAACAGAGTTTATAAATGTATACAGACATATATATATGAGAGATAATGGAAAGTTTCAGGATTCTTTGTTAAGTCTGTGCGTGTGCAATTGTGTGTGGACACACAGGATTTCCTGCCCTGGAGCCTTTGGCAAACAAACCGATAATATACAGGAAAAAAAAAAAATTCCTGACAGTGATGAAGTTTGTTCACTTCTGTGTGGGAATGAAGATGGACAACCACGAAAAGCAACAATGAGGACTTTTTTTGGTCATGTTTTGAAGGGTTTGCAGACGGTTTTGCAAAGTTTAAATATCTCATTCATGTCTAATGTCTCTCTCTGTCTTTTTTCCTCTTTTTGTCTTCTTCAGGTGAACAGTATGTCGGTGGAGGGTAAGACGCATTCAGATGTTGTTGCTGCCATTAAAGCCGGCGGGCACGAGACCCGGCTGCTGGTGGTGGACCCCGAAACAGACGCCTTCTTCAAGAGGTGCCGGGTCACCCCCACCTCTGAGCACCTGACTGGTGAGAGCACGATTTCATGCTCATTGTGAGGCTTTACAAGTTGTGCAGAAGGGGTGGAGCAAATGAGTGCATTTAGCTGCTTTATCAGACATGTTATGGACACAAGCCTTCTCCTTCCGTCTTCCCAAACAAGCAGCACATTAAAACCCCGCTTTTTTTTCCTCTCTTCGCTCGTTTCTTTCTGTCTTTATTCTTTTGCCAAGGATCACAGAGAGACAGAGATGCTAAGCCACTTCCTGATATCTCCCCCCATGTTTTTGATCTGAAAACATCAGCCTAAGCTAAAAAAACTGAAAGCTTTAATGCTGAAGTCTCTCTTCTAAAGTTTATTATTACACAGCAACTTAAATAAACCACAAGTGGATAGTTTGACCCTCCCCACCCAAAAAAAAGTCAGCACATTTTGTCTTTAATCAGAGGAGTAATAGCAATAATATTTAAATATAATTACAGGCATGAGAGATGCCTCTAATTCCTTGCTCGAAGACTTTCTAACTTTTCTCAGGACTGGGTGTACCCACCACAGCCCCCAGGGGGAGCACTAGCATAGCCTGTGACTCGGGGTCCCTCCACGGTGCAACAGCTGGTCCTCTGTGTGGGTGTGTGGCTGGCTGTGGTGCAGCGTCTGAGTGCCACTCTGCCACAGGAGTTCCCCCCCATATTAACATGATGCCACCGGCTGTTGGCATGGCAAAAGCCTGGGCACGCTCAGTGGGGAGGGGGTCAGCTGTCAGGGCCAAGGTCCTGAGCTGCTGGTATATACAACAAACCTGCTATAGATTAATGTACATCATCTAGTTTAGTAGAAGCAAAGCTTGTTTCAGATTCTGTTTAGTCTGACTAGATTCAAAATCCAAACGATACTCAGATTACTTTCGTGCATCACAGCAAAAAAGGAAAACTTTAATTTAAGAGGGAGAAACCAAAACAAGTCTTTGATATTTATGCTAAAAATGACCTAAATGATTGTTTTATTACTTAAATCTATTTTCTACTTGATGTTTGTATTAAACGTCTCATGATTATTTGAGTTTCTTTGTAAAATGAACTTGAGTAAAAGCATAAAGGGGCAAATTTGTACATTAGCACAATGCTTAAATAATCGTAGTTGGTTTATTGCAGCCAGACCTCGTGCAGGATTAAAATAATAGCGCTCTACAGGAGAAACATTCCAGTGAGGTGTTTCCCAGGTAACTGCCTGCACTTCTCTTCACATGCTGCCCACTCAGAGGGCACCTGCCTACACCGACTCTCCGTGTCAGCGCTCACACACTCTCTCACACTCTTTCTCACACGCACACACACGCACACACTCTGCAGCCCTGCTGGCCAGCACCTTTTGTTTGGTTTCCAAGGTGCCAGCTCCAAGTGGCCTCTCAGCCTGGAGCTGGATCTGTATTAGGACTTGGAGAGGCTCCATTCGGACTCAGGGGTGCAAACACGCTCACACACAGCAAAGACCTGAGGGCTCAAATCTCAGATTAGCTCTGAAGGAGCAGCTGATAGAAGCTACAATAACAAAAAGGCAATTCTTGGCTGTGCAGAGAAACCGAGGGATGGAAGGTAAGGGTGAGAGATGGGAATGTGTTTGTTTGTTTGTGGGGAAAAATAAATAAACATGGGGAAAATTTTTGACTTGAGCTTTTTGAAAGAGCTGATCGGAGGAGGACCATCTCATCGAAGAGATGGCCCACTGGTGAATTATAGATGATCTAGAGCAGGTGCTGGCGAGATGAAAGTTGAGCTTAAGAGGAACTCTTGATCTAGGAAAGTGGAGCTCTGAAGGACAGAAGGTATCATGACAGTGCCACGGCAGGGAGCCTGAGAGCTGATGCTGATGACTAATAGTTGCTTCATTTTGTTTTTGACAGGTCCGCTGCCAGAGCCCATCGTTAACGGAGGGATGGAGGAGAAGGTAAGACCCACCAGAAGCACTTAGAGGTTTGCTTTAGCAGGGAAAGGTCTTTTTTTCAGACTCAAGAACAAGAAGTGCTGCTGCTTTAAATGCTCTGTTGCTCTTCATGTGCTGCTTAACCCAGCGGGCCAAGGCCAGGCAATGAAAGCAGCATTCAGCTTTTGTTTTGGAGTGCTGCGCCACACGAGAGAATCGATAGGCTGCTGAAATGAGTTATTAATCGCACTTTCCTGTAATTGTGTGTGTAGTTCCTGTAGAAAACTCCACCCAGTCAGCCACCATTAACTTCAAATTATTTGCAAAAGTTTGACAGAGTAATGTACAAAATAAAAATCCGACAATAGGATTTTTCCCTACGCACTTTGGGCTGAGGCGTGGAGAATGTCGCAGCTTCCTGTAAATCCCGCCGGAGGATTTGGGTGTAATGCCGCTGAGACACAACAGTCGACGTTTACAGCAGGAGGCGAGCGAACACACTCCCAGTTAGACGAGAAATCCGTTATTCACTTTGTTACCGCGGGAAAAAACGTTATGCTTTACACCGAAAGCCACGTTTGCTTACTCACACAGCTCTTTGTTGTACCTGCCTTAGATTTATCTAACATCTACACCACCCACATATGACACAGGAGGAGGAAGAACTTTCAAACTCCTCACAGGCGCACAGTTTCTGTCCACTGAAACACTGGAGAGCTTTTAATTTGAAGTGGAAACAGGAAATGTTGAGTCTTTTATAAATGGTATCTTTAACAGAGCGGCCTCGGATCAAAAGTAATTAAGCGCCACCACAAGGAATAAGAAATGGGAAGCAGGAAGTATGAACATTGTTCTTAGTCTTTTAACTTTTATTGTTTAAAAATTTCAAATCCTGTTGTGACGAATAATAAAGGAAATTTGAAGTCACGGTGCCATTGAACATAGCTAGCAGGTACCAACTGTTAAGGTGGATTGTGGCATTTCATGTTGTGAGAAGCAATCAAGACACCTTAAATGCCATTTATACTGTGTGTGTGTGTGTGTACATATACGTATATATGTTATATTATATATTCTATATATATTTATATATATTCAAAAGTTCAGAAATTAAAGACGTTATTAAACATAGATAGCTGGGCATCGTGTCATCTGAGTGAGCATGCGCTATGAAGACTGGTTTTGCAAGCCAGCTCAACAAAATCTTAAAAAACCCTGTTGGAGATGCATCATCATTCTCTTTGGAGCCAGTCTTTCTGCTCCAGCCACTGAAAACAGACCAACTACTCTCACTTTATAGAAAACCTCTCTGGGCAAACGCTACAGCGGGTGGTGGCACCAGCTTCAACCTCTGGCATTAGCTTTATTGCTGCTGGGTTGAGACATTTAACCCGACTTTCTCTAAAGGAAACCAGATCTGCCAGCTGTAGATCAGGATAGGTGTTTTTTTTCCCCGATTTCAGTGTTTACGCTAAGCTAAGCTAAGCTAATCAGCAACTTGCTTTACTGAACTACTATCTCTGGCTCCTTTTCACATCATTTCTTTTGTCATGTAAACATCACATCTGCCCCACCTGGTCGTGGCAGATGGCTGCCCCTCACTGAGCCTGGTTCTGGTTTCTTCCTGTTTAGAAAGGGAGTTCTTCCTCCCTACTGTTGCCAGGTGTTTGCTCAAAGGGTTGTCTGATTGTTGGGCTTCTCATTGTAAGGTAAAGATCCTACAATAATACGGAGAAAAGCACCTTGTGGTGACTGCTGTTGCGATCTTGCCGCTGTATAAATGAGTGGTTTCAGTATTCCAGCAAATTTAGGAAAATATCAAACTATTCCTTTGAAGTGTGTGTGTGCGTCTGCGTGTGCGTGCGTGTGTGTGTGTGTGTGTGTGTCTGTGTGCGTGCGTGCGTGTCTGTGTGTGTGTGTGTGTGTGCGGCTGCGTCACAGGAATGCTTTCTGAGGGCCTCTCAAGTAACCGAGTCTTTCGTTCCCGTGTGAATACCTTAGACTTTTATGTAAATCAGGCGATGACTTGAGATAATGGCCGGGTTCGGATGAAGAGCACAAACTGAAAGAAGCTACTGTGTTTAAAAGCGGCAGCCTTTCACTTTGGGCCTTTGTCCAAAAATGCTCAAAGTGAAGCCTGACCCCGGACTTCCCGCCAGTCAGGATCTACATGTGCTGCGGTGAAGTTGCATGTTCCACGTATTGTTGCGTAACAAAAGGTCGAAGAGCTGAGAGGGAGGGGGGGCGTGGGAGCAAGAGGTCAGAGAGAAATCGTCACGGAGGTGAAAGATATTTTTAGTGGCCTAAAAAAACCTAAATGCAGTCAGGATTTACAGGCTTAGTGCTGATTCTTCCTGTTACGCTGCAGGAAAGGTTAGGGTTTAAACTCCTGCACGTTGCTGGAAAAATGAGGGAGCGTTGAAAGCTTTAACCAGGAAGAATTTCTCAGATTTCACCTGTCAACACTCTTATCAAAACAAAGATTAACTTTGAGATTTTACTGATTAGATAACACTTTTGCCCTCAGATATTTCCAGAAGTATTAAAAGCATCTTGTGTGTGTCACTAAATTGAACACATTTAACGGTAAGAAGGGACCTCAGAGCTGTGAAGTGTATTTAGTTGTTTTTATGAAACATTTTTGATGTGTGAAAATCCTCTTGAAAAACCTGCAACCTGTTTGTCATTTATAGGCGGAAAGTACCTTTTTTCTTAATAAGGGAAAAAAATAACTAATCCAATGCTGCCTCCTGGTGGAGAGGTTTGGTATTGACAGGAATGTTGGGAAAAAGTTGGAATTTTACAAATCTTCATCAGTGATGCTCACTGGCGTTTGTGTTTGCAGGTGAACGGCAGCGTGGCGAAAGAAGCGACGAGGGATTCGAAGGTGTCCGTCAGCCCCTCCCCGTCCAACGCCTCGTCTAACGCCTCGCTCACAACCCCGCCCGCGAACACCCCGCCTGAGGTAACGCCACACAAGACAACACAGAGTGCAGCACTCACTCTTGTTAGAGTTTCCCTGGTTTTTTTACTCGCTTGCTTTTCTTTCAACAGGGAGCAATCACAGACACCATCCCGGCTCTGAACCTGACGCTGCAGCAGGTCAAAGAGCTCGCCCACCAGAAACGCTCCAACAAGAGAGCCCCGCCCATGGACTGGACCAAGAAAAACGAACTCTTCAGCAACCTATAGGGCCTCACCTGAGACAGACACACACACACACACACACACAAAGCAATCAGACAGATTTTTTAAAAATTATTATTATTATTATTATCTTAAAGAAAAGTTCCAGCCTTTGTGTAAATTATTCCTTTTATTATGCTCTTCATGCTATTATAACCCAGATATTATGCTATAAAATGTCCTACTACCAAGAAAAGTGCATATGCCAATGAGAGAGAACTGCATGTGCAACCATGGCCATGTGTGTATGCGGGCGTAGGTTTTTCTGAGCTTGTGTGGATCCAAGAAGGAGCGCTAAGATTCCTTATCCGCCTTTTAAAAGTTTATACTAATGTTTAAAACACTGAAGTGTCTTCTGATAAAACAGCGCGACAATCAATACATTTCTCTCTGTTTTCGGGAGCAAACCTCTGGCAGTAGACAGAGTTGAACTGCTTTTCATGTCCTTAATTTCACTGGGTTTCTTTTCTTTTAGCGGATATCACCATAGAGCTCTTTCTTCTCTAATTATTTCTTACATTTTGGGAAATGCTTACTGATGCCTTTTAAAACTGGAAATCGCTGTATTTTGAAGTGTGTTCTATTATAATATATGTACATACATCATATATCATGTATATTTTTTACGCATATGACTTAATCCACACCGTAACGAACTCAACTTTAACCCTTTGCAACAGTGTCGTCCTGCCACTCAACGATACCCGCGTTATCTTTTATAAAATGTGAACTGCAGCATATTATTAGTGTAACTTATACCGCCCCTATAACCATTATTGTTACTGTGAATGACTGCTCACACAGTTCACATTTTTAGCATACTGAATATTTTTATTGGAAATTAGAAATTGTGAGGTTTTTTTTGTTTTTGTTTTTTACTTATTTCTGTGTAAAGAGCTATAATTGTGTAGGATTTGGATGATGTTCATAAGAGGGGAGTGGCTGCGTGTCTTTTAAACTATATGCATTTGTCCAGTATTGATAAAGGCTATCATTTTAATGACTGAATTATATGAAGAGTTTTTGTAGTTTGTGTAAGCAGTAAGAGATTTCTATTCTGTAATGCGTCGATCATCTCAGCGTTATCCTGGTCTTTGAGAATAAATAAAAGTACTATACACTGTGTGTGAGTGAGTGAGAGAGAGAGAGAGAATAAACACCGGTGACTGGCAGCCACAACGATGCCGCCACCATGTTATGGTATACTTTGAATCAGCCGTTTCTCTCCTACTTCCCCCTCCACATCGTCTGGTAAAAGATCATCTTGGTTTCGTTTTCATTTGCTGAAAGAATTTTCTCTCCTTGATTTAAGGGTTCATTTTGGGGGGTTTTCAGTCTAATGATGAAGTCTTACTTCATCAGTAGGAGTGTTGAATTTCAACAAATTCAACACTTTGAATGAACGACAACAGTCGCCTCAAGGCACTTTATATTGTAAGGTAAACCCTACAATCATATGACACCCTAGGAGCAAGCACTTTGGCGATGGTGAGAAGGAAAAACTCCCTTTTAACAGGAAGAAACCTCC